TCTTACCTGCCTCTTTCTTTTGTGTGTTGGATGTTATTTTTATCGTGTTTGTTTCTTCCTGTTTGGAGTGGTTTGTGTGTGTGTGTGTATTCAAATAAAAATTATTCTTGATCGTTTGATTTGCTGATGATGTTTGTCTTGATTTCCGATAGGTGGCTCGCTTGTGTTTGTTCCTAATTTGTTGGGCTTATGTTTCTTTCTTCACGCTCATAGATAAATGTATTCTCGTTCAATCTTTTTTTTATAAACGAACTACTGTTTCTTAAATGATATATCGAATAACACTGATAATCAATTAAACCCCACTTGTGTTTCCCTTCTGCGTTTGCACTCTATATATACATATATAAAAGAAATTGAATGTACTTAATATATGCTCCTGTCAATTTTTAAGTAGTGCGCGTATTAATAATTAAAAAAAATATCTTTACAAAATAAACTAGCTATACATTATTTTGAACAAAAAGAAAGACTAGTTAAGTTTTCTCATTCTTTGCTATGATTAGTTTCAAGGTGTTATCAATCCTTTTGATTTAGATACTCAATACATTGAATATTATGTCGGTTTGATTTCATATAGGTGACATTATTGTTGATATTATTCATTATTATTATTATTGCTATATATAATGATGATGATGATGATCGTGATGTGAATGAAGTTAGCGATCAGTTGCATTTATTATCTATCAAAAGAATCACTTGAACATGTATACATATATCTTTCTGTCTGTATTCAGATAGACAAGGTATCTAATTTAATGAGAAAACAGTGAGAATGTTACTATTCACATATTATTAATGTATATATTTGTCAAAACAATATACATTTTAAAAATGCATAATAATATCACGGATTATTAACACAGATATTGATATGTGCAAATCTAAGTCATCTCATTTATTCATTACCAACAGCAGTGCTTTCACCCTCGTACACATGAATAGTGTGGCGTTTATGTATCGAAGCAAGTTACTGTTCATGTGTATTGCAATTTTATCGTTTCAGGTATTCCTTTTTTTCTAAACTGCCAATTATATGAGTATCTTTTTTACTCTATTTTTCTAATTTGGGTATTTTTAGATTTAATTTTGAAGAATTATTTTTATACATAAACCTACTTCATTATTTCTGTTAACGTTCTTTATTGTTGGAAAATTCTCTTTCTCAGATTTCATACTACCTACCGACCTCTGTGTGTGTGGGTGAACTGACCGGAAGAAACTTTCAGTTTGTGATAGGAAGCAATTAACACTGTATAGAAAATTATATGGTGCTAACATTCTCAACGCTAAAACTTAGAATGATAATCAGTCCCGTTATTAGAAAAATTTAAGTTTAAGAGGATCAAAGTAACAGTCACAATTATTCAGAAAAGCACCGAATTTCATACCAAAAGGCTGTCGGTGCATTACATTGGTAATTAATGCTCAATTCATATAGTGTATATACAACTGGTTGATTGACATTAAGTTCACATACCGTAACGGGATTGAATCCGTTTGTTTTTCTGCTGTTTGAATTTACTTTTATTCTGGTTGCCACGGCTTCCAATATACCGTTTACTTCCGAACCTGTCATGCTCTTATTTCAGCTGTGCATTATGTTATTCATCGTTAGAATATGATTAGATCGTAGAGATCAGTCTACTTGCTTTTTAATAAGTTATGGTAATGCTTCTTATAAGCCGTTTTTGTATAAAGCTTTTGTTTACTTCAAAATTGGAAGTCACCTAAGGAATGACTATCTTGAAAAATATATTAAAAAGAAATAACCTTGAGTCACATCAGGATCGCCCACATTTCAATAATATAATTGTGAAACACAATCGACTGTGAGCAAATTACTTTTATTAGTGCCAATTTCGTTTGATATCCACGTAACTATCCTTATCACTTTGTGTTATACATTCGAGTGGTGTTTCTTGAAGAAAGGATCATTCTTAAATATTTGTTTTTTTACATGGGATTCGTATTTCACATTATTAGAGAATTTTTTCAAAAAAGAAAAAATATGGAAATCACCAATGCTTGCGTCGAAATTGTTTTAAGACTGGAAAGTTTCATTTAATGAAAAAACAGAACAATGATAGTCATTATGTTCAGATGAAATTATTTAAGTATAAGTGTGAATTTCTTGGCCTCTATCAAAAAATCAAGATTGTTACAATGTAGTGAATTCAAAGCTTTGTGCGTAAACAGATTTGACTCATACAATTATCTTTATATAATTAATCTTCGTTTCTAGATGAAATGAAGCTACATAATGCATTCTTTCATTTTAGATAATATTAAAGTTTTAATCCATATTTACAAAATATCATATATTCTTTGTACGTGGGAGATAATCGTTTCGGAATATTTTTAGAAAAAAATCTCCACAAACTCTGAAGTGTGTTTGATAACTTGTAGTAATTACTCATATAATAATCTTCAACTGGATGCTAACCAATTACGAAATTTTTATATTAGAAAGTCTTTCCTGCAGTTATTTTGTTTCTTATAACTCAAATCATGTGATCATTACTTATTTGAGTAGATAGAAGTAATCAACTGCTTTTGTTGTTTGTTATTGGTCACTGTGAGGTATTCGTTCTAATAAATAGTAATATACAATTAACTGGGAATACATGATTAAAATATATGTTAATAAATTATGATATGAGTAGAGAAATTAATGAATAGCTTATTTGCAGAAACACCGAATGAAATGTCGTCTTGTTACAGTATGATATTGTGGTCTAAATTGCTTATCTCTGTTTTTACTGCGTAGTCTCATTGATTATAGTATTTTGATATTTTAAGCTTTTATTTAGCATATCGATAGTCGATGTGTTTTTACTGTTTTGTAACTATCGTTAAATTGTCAACTAAATTATCGCTCTATTTTGTATCACTCAGGATTTAGTTGTGTATAAATTGTGATTTCTCTCGTGGATTTTTGCCATGTTCTCAAAGCTTTTAATCCTACAAGTTTGACTCAGTATTAAAATGTTGGTTTGGTGTGTTCGTTTTCTGACTGGCTATTGGGTATAAACTTTCGCGGTCCTTGCTTATCGTCAGTTGTTTGGTTAGATAGATGTAAGGTAAATTCGTAGCCAATGAACTCTTTGTTTTGTGATTTGATTATGTCAACATGTAGAGGACTGAAGGTCGCAACAGTATTGCTTCATAAGGAAGTTGAAGACTACCATTTACATTGAATGTTCTTTTTAGTCAATACAGAATGACATCAAATTCTCCGTCAGCCTATTCATTTTCGATAGAATTTGGTGCGAGAACACTTCATTAGTCGGCTGACTGCAGGGATATTATGGGAACCCGAAAAACATATTTGATCGCCTGTACTTTTTATGGGAAATTGTTTGGATTCTAAGTATCCACTGTTTGGATGTTATTTAATTGGTGCGAATATGAAATTGTTTTGGTAAATGCATTTTAAATGATCATTCTAATCATAGGACAGCATTGTATCTTTATCAATTATAACAAATAATTTCGGCTGTTGGTAATTGGCCAAATTTCAGTATTTTCATCCTATATCTTAATTAGTGTATGCGCTTCATGGACAAACTACGAAAGTTGCTAGTCTTCTGTAAACATTTGCCTTACTGTATTTTGATTCCTAGCAGCCACTGAAAAGTTGTGGAAAACACTAGTTTTTGAGTTCATCATTCAATTACTAATGCCATGTCATATTGTTTTGAAACAGATGGATCAGTCTATTGTATATATACGTATTTGAGTTTATTGTTCATACACATCTGTCCAGTAGACTACAACTCTCTTTTATTTGCGATATGCGGTCAGAAGTTTTTAAATAATATCCACTTCAGAGACAATGATAGTTTAGACCAATAATTATGCGATCGGAAGTGATGGTACCTTTAAAAATTTATTAGCATGCAAAGCTACGACACTGCAATCAAATATTTTACAATCCTACATGTCATTACATGGATGGATTTATATTAGGGCAGATTTATCAGTAGCTAAACGAGTGTGGTCCGAGGTGCGATATTAACATATAATCGGAACATGTTTTCCTATCGTGTATCCATTACCTACAATTATGTACAAAAAGAAATTTGATGAGTTAAATATCTTTTAGAGCTGAAATTCATTGTTTTTTTGGAATGTGCATAATAACTAGGAATGCCTCGCAGAATTTAGTTCCTTCAGGAACTTTTCCTTAATTGATATAACACCACCACTCTTTTATTATCATTCGATTGGTTACTATCATTTTTGTGGTTCAAGAGTCATGGTTGTTTCCAATATAAAATTGTATTACAATATTAACTGTTTGGAACATATCAGATTCCTCTCGAATTCTTACCTTCTCTCAGTCGTTTAAGGAGATTACTCTTGTGAAGATAAGTCGATGAGCTCTCTAGAACACGTCGCTTCCGTTCATATTAAATATCTTTAGATCCTTCATAATTTGAAATAATCGTAAGCTTATGGATTACAAAATAGAACATCTACAAAGCTGTACAATTTAGAAATCAAGTGTGTGTGAAATAACACTCATTAGGCAATATATTTTATTATTATTATTATACGTTATGACATGATTATCAAAGTATATAAAGACAAGAAAATTGCATCTCTTTCTGCAAAACAAAACAAAATAGATTCTGTTATAACTGACAAAGTTGAATCATTTCTTTGTATTCAAATAGAAATATTTGGAATTAATAATTTTAATTTTACACGGATACTTCATTTTCGCATAGTTCTGCTACTTAAATAATATTTCCCAATGAAAAATAATCTTGACTTATATGATTTTCTTGGAGTCGATAATAAAAAACAATCAGTGCATGATGTGTTTGTTTATGTCGAATCAACTATAAAATAATGATCATTATGCAACAACATTGTCTTTTTTATTAATAAAGGAGAGAGAGTGAGAGAAATAAGTCATAGCAAATACAACTAGCATTAATTTGTAAAATACAAATACGGGAGTTGAATTAAGGGTTTCTTTCTGTTCTTCATTTGCAACTGGTGATATTCAAGGTTTTCATCATTTGTCGAACCTGTTCATATACCTGTGAAAAAGAAACATTTTGTAAAGACGTTCTATATTCGTAACAATATTTGTTGAAATACAAAGAAACATTATTCTATATTATTGAAAAAACATGTTCGGCGAAAAACCAAACCGGTCGCTTAGTTTTTCTATCACTTATGGTGTAGTTATGTGTATAAGACCTGCTTGAAGATCTGGGCTACCTGTTTTTGACATCTAGATATTTCAAAAAGTTATGTTTTTGTGCGTTTATGAAAAGTTCACAACTTTTCGCTGTGCAAGTTATAAAAAAAAACAATCAGAGACATAGTGGTTGCTGGTAATATGCAACGAAAATAATGTACAATATTCAGATGTCGATTCCTGAACTGCTAACATCTAATTGGTGGTCACTCAGTATTTATCGTCAGGGCTGATCAAGAATTACTTTGTGCTGAGAATACTGTTGCACCAATAATACAACAACTATTATTAATAATATCCATCAAACTTTCCGTATATAGAAAGCCGACAAGGACAGGACAATATCTTAGTTTCCAGTCTAATCCAATATAAAGTGGTTTAATAAAGGGCTTATTCTAACCCATTATCCAGCGTGCATACAATCACTGCTAGTGAAGTCCTACTCACTACCTCCTCGCGGCGAGGGTGTTTACGAAATTGAGAGGACGAAAAGCGGATGTCCGGCGCTTTACCCGGGTCGGTGGATACGTAGAGTCCACCTAGGGGAGTTGGGAAACCCTGATTCCAAACCAATTGTGCACATGGGCCCCAGCATCGTGAAGGAACAAATGGCGTATGAACCCATTGTTGGTCACCGGCTACTATGGGACTGCATCTCCTGAAGTTGCTCTACTACCTTTTGGATCAGATCTTTAGGCCGAAGTCTCCGGGTATGGCCTCTTAAGATAACCACCTGCTTTAGTTTGGGCACCCGGGCAGTATCACAACTCACACACAATTCGAATGATTTATCTGGCGCATATCTATTCGATGCCTTCTTGTACCAATGTTTATGTATTTAAATAAATAAATTATCCAGCATGGTTTTCACATTCTGTACTCTTATATTACCTTTGGCCACCCTTACCTTTTAATAGTTCATGTACGAAATAAGTATTACTTGAGGTACAGAATTACCATCCGGATTCTGATTGATGAATCTTGTCGAATGTTATCAATTAAACCATAATCGTAACACGATTCATTTGATTAAATAACTGAAGCGTACTTCACTCTCAATTTATGAATAAAACATGCTGACGTGTTCATTCCAACTATTTTTTATACCCATAATAATAATTGAGTTGATTAGAGTTTCTCAAAGAGATTTAGGTTTTAAGCTTTATTAAAATCATAAAATTATTTAAATAAATCTTAGTAATCGAATGTTTGAAGTACACGATGTTATACGGAAATCTTTCCGCTTTTGCATTATTCGTAAATTTCACCAGTTAATTATGGGTGGACAGGAAATTCCAGTTAATTGTAATCAACACAGATCTTGATATAAATGTATTAGGTCAACTCACTGTACCACACATCAGCACAAAAAAAAGTTAACAGGACGAATAATAAACAAGTAGCAGTATCAATAATAGTGAGAATGATTAAACATTATAGAATGCAGTTCGAAAAGAAGGAATGGATTTGAAGAATTAAAAGATTTTAAATAATAAAGAAGCTTAATATTTAGGAGGGATAAAGAGTGGATAGGTCCAAGGCATTTTAGCTGATTTTGAATCATGTTGCCTAATATCTACAGCCACTGAGTGTGCCTAACCAGGTTGTCTACACCAACAAACACTACCCAGATTAACAGTTGATGATCATTCTTATGGGATGATACTATATCTCCGTTTGATTATACCTAGTTCTATTCCAGACAATATTGCCCATCGAGACAGGGATTTTTGGTTACATGTTACACGTCTCTGACCGTGAAGCTGGGTGACACGGAATAGAATCCGTCAGGTGCACCGGTTCCCTCAAGATTACAGGTACATCTTGCTGACGAGTGCCAAGTAGCATGAAACCCTGGGTCCAGGGTTTCCTGTCGACTACCTCCAACCATCTAGTCTCAACATAGCGCATGCAGTGTCGAGTCAACTAGACTGGTGGCCACATTGCAACTTAGTCGATAGCATTCGATCTGCACTAAGAAGGATTTGACACACATGACATTGATCACCACCCAGTGATCAATCAATTGTGATCATAATAGGTCTGAAGATGTCAATGTCACGTTAGTTTTGGTCAAGGTCATTTTGTATGAGACAACTATGTTTATTTGTGTGTGATGGTGGGTATGAAAAATATGTAATTTGTAATATGAAGTAGTGTCGTTGGAATTGTATGTATGTAGTTTGTACGGAAAATAAATAAGGTCGAATGTAGTTGTTTGGATAATCTATCCAGGTTGGATGAATACTCGGGCCATTATGGTAGAGGGATGCACTATTATATGAAACGGTCCGGCCAGTTACCTCTGTTCACTTACCATAAGAAATATTCTGAGGATGTGATCTGTCGATAAATTTGACAATTACAATGAGATTAACAGACTGGAATACAAAATTTCCGAAATTTTTCTCCCATCAAATGATTGCGTGTGGTCGACCATATGATAAACTTGACGCTAATCTCGGAGAATATGTGATTTGACTCGGTTTAGAATACTCGAATTAACAGAATATTTGGGCCTCAATATGTACAACAAAATAAAATGATTGAACGCTTACTATAACTACACATTCACTAATTTGTTAACACAAAATAGTCAGAAAATCGTATGATAAAATATTACCTCAGGTATAGACTTATTTGCATTAATTCTGGTCACCAAATTTTGTGCCTCATAGAATTGAATAATCGGCATACATTGTTCTTTGAATTGTTTTATACTGGAATGTTCATCAATCATTGGAATAAAAAAACATATTAAGTTATAATTTATTAACATCCATGAAACGACTAGTAAGGAATGAAAAAGTCGTTTAGTTGAAAGAAACTATGGTTCAAGGGTAAATCATACTATACTGGATTGAGACGGTTTCAAGGTGTTTCCCACAAGCAATCAGCATTTGCAGCAATTTTGTCTTACTACAACGAAAAGAGGTTAGAAAACTAAGCCTTGAAAATGGCGCACATCACTTTGCCCTATGGATTCTCGTCGCCAATGATAAGGGTTAATGAATTATTCAGTTAACACAAATCACGAACAACTCACAAAACGGTTGTATGTAAAGGGACTTAGGCAGTTTTTCCTTGAGTCACTTCCAGTAAGTTTTACAGTCGGCTACCTGAAACCACGTAACATCATAACAGAATATGCCTATCATGAGAGAATTACCGATGCTTTAATGTTTCTTCATTATCGTCCACTCGATTTGACTTTCGTCCAAGGCAACGTTGGATACATACCTGAAGAAACAAATTAGTTAATTAAATATTACATGGAGATTACATTTTGCATATATATATAAACTAGTTTCACTCATGTAATACTAGATTATTGGTGCCTTCTGAATTTCCCAAATCAAGTTAATCATAATTGTTTCATTTTGAATTGGATGATATAGGAATAGGTTGGAAGTGTTGTAATTGTTCAAGCGAAGACAATGCAACAGACTAAGAAATTATTAATAATTTGACTAAACCAAGTAGGTAATTATGAAATATCACTTAGGGATTCCTAGATAATTGTAATTTCTGCTTAGAAACGTTGAGTAACAAAATCCGAAATCGATCTATTTGGGTTATTCCTTACCTTTCTTTTGGGCTAAAGAGCTTTGCTTCAATCCATACTTTTTATTCCCCAGTTTCATTGGCCAATTACACTTTTAATATTTAACAATCAACTAAGGTAGATGATTCATATCTACTACTCATCTTGACAGATTTCTTGATCGCTATCATAGACAGTACTTTATCATCAAATACTTTTTACTCAAGTTCAAAAGGAATGAAATTTCCCACTTTATCTTAACATGTGATTATTCAAAATTCTGATTTGAATCGGAGCAGGTAGTAAGACGAAATTCGTTATTTATTCTCTGAAGAAGTCGCTTACATTGAGTTACGAAACGCCAGAAAATCTAATTTTTTCACTCATTGGGATATTACAATTTTTATTTTTATTTAAAACCACTGGATGTTGACTGAGTCGTCTATAGGTTAGGTGTCACCGAGATAACTAAAGGTCCTGAGCTCGTGAGTACGCTCTGTCGAGGGGTTACAAAATAAGAGAAAGTAACTGTTGAACGCCTCCTCGTTTTTAGTGGTTATCCAACTGAAATCAATCTATGAAATTCAACAATCTCTACAAAACCCTACAGTAACTATAATAGTTTAGTTTGATTAATGATAGAGTAATAAATCAAAACTTACATCGTCTGGACAATCTAAAACAATGACATTTTTTAATATCGTATGAGAGCCTAAATCTTTTTCCCAACACAAACGATTTTCATCATTACGTGGAAAACCATCCACAAGAAAATTTGTACAATTAGCATTTTCAGAATTTTTTCTCATTGCCTATAAATAGAAATATTAAATTGTGTATCCAAAAAAAATAATAAAATAACGAATATCACCTTCAAATTAAACTAACCTCCACTGATTAGTGGTTCAGTGATTAAGACATTCAACAATAAGTTCCTAAGTTAGACGTTCGAACCCCGATCCAACTCATTCCGTTTTAAAAGCAAGTAAGTAGTATCGTTAGCCTTTACATTTAGAGTGTGGTTCTAAGTCCAGTACACAAGTCTGTACGTGGATGATGAGTCAGTAAATAAATTTTGTACAAATCAATAACTACACTAACCTCACACAACAAAACAAAACTTATGATTAAAAACACAACATATCAACTCATGATTAAACTAAACAATCTGGCTTTTTTACCAATATACAAACATTTAACGAATGCAACAATCACTCGTACACGACATTATAAGCACAGATGGATGGTGACTGAAAGTAGAATTCAGGATTCATGTTTTAGACATAAACAACATGGTTCAAGAAAAAATAAATTCGCAGACTGAAAACTATAAGATAATTCCAAACTCAAGATCTAAGGAATTACAAAGAATCGATGTATCTGAACCGCCTCTTGAACTGTTACTCAACACCTCTAAAAATTGCTTATAATAATTCAGATGATCACAACCAAGTAGTCTGAATCTATCAACAAAGTTCAATTCAACAGTCACACGTTTTGGTTTGGCCGCGATTAACTCTACAAAATATATCAGGCGAAAAATCCACATTCGACAATCTATTTTTTGGAACCGGAGCATTATCAGAAAAGTAAGTGGTATATATAATTAATTTGATCTTACGATGTAAAATATCTACACACACTAATTAAATTGTCAGTCTAAAATAATCAAAATGTACACGAAATAACCACCAAAAATAAAACCTGAACCAACTTGATATAATAAGCCACAGGTAATTTCAGCCGGTACGATTGTCCCATTTTTCATGTGTTCTTGTATTTCACTAGCAAATTCAGAACCTGGTGAATCGCGAGCTTGTCGAAGTAATTCACCAGCAGATAAATGTACAAATCCATATTCCTGATAAAAGGTAGATAGAAAACCGATTTTAAAAAAGTAGTATGGAAGCAAAATATTACAAAATCATACTATTTGAAAATAAAAAATCCAAATAGTAGGTCAACCATCAATACCAAATCTCCGTTTAGATGATAAAAAATTAACTAATGATCTGAGTGACATAAATATAGATATGTTGACTTCCTAGTTAGGATCTAAACGATTATCTTAGTCAAAGGTTGGTAATCGTAAATGATATGAATATAGTAAATCTGTTGGTGAGGTAGTGGATCTTTATCTACCGAGATGATAAGGATATGTAATACGTATCCCCACCCACCGACTAATTCGACAAGCAGTGTCTGCTAACGCAGTAAGTTGGGAGAAAGTTAGGTGTGGCCAAACCAAAACGTGGTATCAATTCATGGAGACATTGGCTAGTGGACTGGGCCATGTAATTATGTAGGTTGTAGTTAGCGCCGTACAAAAAGTAAATTCAAACAAACTAGGTTTACTGACCTTCACAATTTGCTGGCATACTGTACCTTTCCCAGCACCCGGTCCACCCAAAACAAAAAAAATATTAAACTTCATATCCCGCCAACTGATGGTATCTGATATAATGAAAACTGATCTTGCAACACAGAGTGACCAGATGATTCTAAAACAAAATTAAACCAAATTCCAAGAAAATAAACATTGTACTTCCTAAGATTATTGGATCGTTGAGAACATTGATATTTGGACACGACATGTTGCATAAGTTTATACATATTCATACACTTCTTTTTTGCAACTTTCCCAATAAAAAATAGAACCTTTAAGATTTAAATGGGGCGGGATGTACATAAATATGTTCATAACGAGAAATACCACTGAAAATACCTCACAATTGCCTACATAAATATACTCGTGATAACTGATAACTAAAAATGTGGTGGTCGCAATTGTGAAAAGTTTCTTTCACAATTAGATCAGAGCATAACCATAAAGCAGAATCAGAAAAAGCGAAGCTACATGATACTATTTCTTCAAAAGTTATAGCAAGAAGATGTTTTTCAAGCAATTAAGTTCATGACGGTACTAATGAATATTGGCTGATAAGCATAGATAACCGTTAGATGATTGGAAGACTAATAATTATGCGAGTAAGTGTACTCAATTTGTCCCAGGACCTAATATTTAACCTGTCCACTATGACTTTAAGCTATGATGAAGAAAATGAACATTAGACTTAAGTACAGAGATTTTGTATACAACACTTAAATTAATCGAGAAAACAACATCGAACACTAAAAAAAGATATAAACTTACAGTTACTAATATGACATGAACACAAGTCCATAAGAACCTGAAATCTAAGTTGCCCTACTATATGAGATTTAACGTGTTTATTAATGCATGACTTAGGTTTATGAGAGCTGAGTGATCCACACACCCAAAATATCATAGTTCATATATATGATGAAAATTCATCAGAAAACCAATAAAACTAAAAATTTCTAAAAGGAAATGATAAAAGGATTCTAATCTGGATGGAGTCATATTTTACGAACCAGGTGGTTTAAATGATGAATTTATTGCCTGTTTACATACTACGAACACAAACTTATGAAATCTGAAAGCGCAATATTATTATGACCAACTTGAAGGAGTCGGAAAAACCTAACCTCGAAACTAGTACAACTTAATTTACAAAGATTACTATCTAAAACGTTTTGCGGAGTAATACTTCAAGGGTATATACTAAATAATTAGGATAAGCGAGAGATGATAATACTATTCCTCAATTACATAGACTCCTTAAGATGATTCTATGGTTGAAGGAGCAAATAAAACTACTGTCAGTTAGTGCATGGAAGCAGAATAAAACTGACATTTGTGTGACATCGAAGTTGTCATTGGGAGGAAGGATAATTGGTTGGCTGTGAGTGGACCAGCAACCTGGGACTGGATGATCGATCTCACGTACTTTGAGTAAAGGGTTGTCTTACAACCAATTCAACACTTCAGACCAAACAATTTTACTGGTTCTGACGTACAAACTCTTAAACAAAAGGATTTCTAGGTGATATGACCCCACATCGCTGACATTGCTACTCAAAATGTAACTAGGCCAGTTTAGACTAGGACTAATCATACTAGTTTAGTCATTAAACTGATGGAGATGATTTATCCTGCTGTTTAGCATTGTATGAAGGGGGCGAATTTTCGCCAGAGAAAAACATTTTCATTTTAGTAGATTGTATATTCATAACTAACCTTAGTGGGAAAGATTAGGCCCAACCTAAAGATAAAAATACTGAGGTAAGCGTATTAACTACTGACCTCAATAACGGTTTATCAACGGGACTTAGGTAGAAGAAAGTTAAACAACCAATTATACAGTCGAAGAATGGGTTAGACTTCGTGACAGGAGGTAAGGAATGAGAGCTAGCGACACTTCATCCTCATGTGATCTGCAGATGAAAATTCTGGGCCCGCTCCTTATTTTCATTTATGTAAATGATCTACCTTGAGTGGTATAGCCATGTATCCCGCTGTTTGAAGACGAACTTAAGGTATGGAGAAATACACACAATATAAATTTAGAGGTAAAATTGCGAGAAGATTAAAATTTAATGATTGACTAGAATCGATAGCCGTAGGTAGACTCTAGAAAACGTCATAAAGAAAATAAAGTGTGGCAATTCACATTTCTACGCATAGCATGGAACAGTTATCAACTATAAGTAGTCATAGTAAGTAATGACCTCAGAACTACGATCAGTAGACATATGTTCAACACTCTGTGATGCATTTTAAGACGATTACACTGATCTTTTAAATATTAAATGGTAATAAAAGCAAAAGATAGAAGCAATGAACAAGAGTCGGACTTCAAATTCCACGCCTCACATACCTAGTTCAGATTAATAGAATCATCCTGTCATCCTTCTGTTTGAATATTCGAAACGCGAGACTAAGAGTTATGGAACGCAATTCATGAACTCTTACTCCTAACTTTTGATCCTAATCCTAATTTCCCATACTAATCTATGGTCCTATTTTGACAACAATAAGTCAGTGAGTTATCAATGTCAATCTGGATTCTCTATAAGGTACACTAATAATATCATAGTGACAACTTGAAGCGAATTTAAGAGTTACTTAGGGATTAAATATCCAGAAATCAGAAACCGGAATGCAATTTTTTAGTAAGCGCTCTAAAATATAGATAAATGAGATCAGAGGTGATTATAATCACCTATAGGACTTTGAAAAACATCAAGAAACTTATAAAAGCTAAATACCAGTTATTTAGGATGGAAATTATCGCTCTGCTTTCAGGATAGATCTTACAAATTAGTCCAACATCTTTTAATGACTAGCTACTAACCCTAAAACTTTCAAACGCAGACTCTCGATCGAAACACTCCTAACTCAAGTATACTAACCCCAGTATTTCAGTACATAAGGAAACCACTATTCAATCTTTTCGACATACGAAATATAAGGAAAACCAGTAGATGGCGACAATTGCCGCTCTAGCTTAAGCTATACAAAACAGCGCTCTAAATCAGTGCATTGACCTGTTTAATTTTGATTAAGCACTAAAGTCCGACGTTGTAATGTGAGTAAGCCGAGAGTTCTTAAGACGTCTTACGTGAAAAAGCAAGAACAGTAAGCAAACAACCTAAACAAACACCACCTGGTGACCTTGAGTGATGACCAAGTATCCAAACCCCTTAAATAGTGTGCCCAAAATATGTCAAAACGCGCAACTGACCAATGCCTCAAATAATTATTGTAAGGCAAAATAAAAAGATTGCTTAATTTTAGGTTCATTATAAGTTCAAGCATCATTAAAAAGGACAGTGGTATTTTTCCTCGTTGAGTAAACTTTATTGTTTTGATCGTTTATTACGTATCAAGACTACTGTTTTCACTTTAATCGAATTTATTTCAGTTGAAGCATTCGACTAGAGTATCTTTACTGTTTCTTAATTAGTTTATCATCTGTACTCTTGAGTACCTTATTTTCTACTGTATCTGTTAGTACTTTTGGTCATAACAATCTACAATTTTCCACTTTTTTGGTCATAAATCATTTTTTGTCTCTGAGCATTATTGCATCTCGCTCTTTTTTTTAAAAGACCCCTTTTTAGAGACCGAACAGTGCAACAAAGGCAGTTGCTAACTTTCAGGTTGTCGTTATCCCATTGAAAGCGGCATGCAGTGCGGTGAGTGCAAAGTCTGGTACTCTAGTGGCATTGGACCATAACCACGCAATCCTCAAAGCTGAATACGAGATTACTCGGAAAACAGATATTCAATATTTAACATGGAGAAACACCTAACGACGGAGAAGGCGAATAATGAATTGAATGGACTGGAGTTGATCGGATGGCATGGCTCGACCATGCAGGCGTGGTCCATCTGAATGTTACCTTATATCTTCTATTCATATTAGATATATTGTTCCTTCTCTAGCCTAACCTTGTTCTACATCATGTATTGGTAATTGATACGATACAGTGAGTTGCTGTAGTCGGTGGTGTGACTTCCACGTAAGATCTTATAGATTAAGCAGTTATATCATGACAAATCTACAATTTTAGGATTAGGTCTATTATTAGAGCAGTACTAATATCATAGTAGACCATAATTCTACATTGGTGAGCCCCACTAAAGCAACTCAACCTATTATGGTTAATCCTTATATCCACCTTAACCTTCTCAATAGATTTTATATTTATGTTAACCCAGTACTCTAATAGTCCTCTGATTAATGCTCACATGCATTATCGTAATGTTATATTGATTAGTTCTCATGACATACTAGCTCAATCGATAATAAAACTGGTCGTCAATATTAACTAATTAGCTTTGATGGTTTGTTAACAAGCTTTAATAGCATTTACATGCTTAGGCGACATAGACTTGTTTAAGCGTCAAGCTCTAGCAAATATGACCTGTAAAAAGCGTAAATATACATTGACTAACAATGCAATCAATGACTAAATAGTTATCTGGATCTAATTCTCAGTATTCATTCACCTAACACATCCTGCTTCAAAGTATGCACTATCCTGTAATATCTTTCTTCTGACCACTGCCTGCCTTATTTCAAATTTTCGAGTTCCATTGCCAAACAACAAGGATGACACTTCTCTAAAAACATACGTTGAGTTTCAGCTATAAGTTTCCTGCAATCATAAGGTCATTTTAGATGGCTCGTTCAATGGCGACCACACAATTATCTGGATTCATTCGATTGTTCTGATCCTCACTAATGGCGTTATATATGTCGTCCACTGAATAATCTAATTTTCAAAAATAACCCAGGCGAGTTCAACTATTTTACCTAATGATTTTTTAACTTAACATGTATATGTTTTCCGGTTTCTTTTGCTATATATTTGTAAGTGTCATTAGGCTAAATGCAGTAACTTCTTATAGAATGTTTATAACGCGTCATATTCCTGCCTAAAGTTTCACAAGCAGTCTTAACTTTAAAATTATTTTCTGGTCATATTCACTATTTTTAAATTGTCATATACGTCAACAACCTGCATGTTAACCTGGTCTAGGTCTGTTATTAGAGCAGTACTAATATCATAGTAGACCATAATTCTACAGTAGCACAAAGTTTGCACGAATTTAACGCCTGCGGCTTTCAAAAGATTCAGTAAAAGGGCTGCGTATGACTTTTTCAACGATGCTGTTCGGATGGAAACAGCTTGTTATCCGAGACCATCTCACTGCTAGATGCTGCGTAAAAGTGTTTTAGTAAGCGTAGTCAGGACACATCCAACAGCACTCGCTCTGTCGACACTCAAATTTATATGAAGCAAACTCAGATGAATTGGAAAATAGGTGACTCACACCGATCAAAGAAGGAAAAACATAGTCTCCAAAGAGGTCCGTCCTAAACAAAAACTCATGAAAATAATGTTCTTCTGTTCACCGTCTTCCAAACGGCATCTAGCAGGAAACGCCTAGAAGCTGCAATCGCAAGACTCGTTCGGTTCCTAGCAAGAAACATAACCTAACCTCCCAGGTCATCGACAACCCTCCAGAATCCAACAGTAGGCTTGACTCAACTGTCGTTGCTTCTCCTGGCGCCCTTGACGAGTGGGTACAGGTTGTAAAGAGGAACCAACGTGGTGATATAAAAGGGAATCCTGCCAGCGTAAAATTGTCGAAAAATTGAAGGCTGACAGATCAGTTATTTTTCATAGAATCAAGGAGAGCGAGAGCTCTGAATCAAAAGCTCGTTTTGAGCATGACATTGTACTGATTAAACAGATGCTCGATCAAATCATGCCTCAAAATATCACCGGGGTCACCTTGCTAAAGGTGTACAGACTAGGGAGTCTAGAGAACTTGAAAGTAAATCAATCCAGACTCCTTAAAGTAGTATTCAAATCTTCGAACGAACGCGACCTAATTTTACAGAATGGACATAAATCAAAGGGTTCAGAAGTTTTTATTCATTAGGACTTACCATTGGCAGACCGTGTAAAAAGACGGGAAGCCGACAAATAACTACAACTTAGGTTAGACGCTGGCGAAAAGAACCTGAAACTTGTAAATTTTCGGGTTGTAAGGCTTCGACAGAGAATGATGCCGAAGCCACTCTGGGTGAACCACGAAGCCACTTAAATAGGCTTCGGATCGGTTACACTAATGCCCGAAGCTTAATCAATAAGCGATCGGGACTAGGTGTACAGATTGACACTACAAAGCTAGACATAATCACAGTCACAGAAACCTGGCTGACACAGTCTACAGATAGTATGGAACTTGATTTCGAGGGTTTTACGTCAGTAAGGGCCGAGAGAATACAGAAGCGTAAAGGAGGGGGAGTAGCACCATTAGGAATGCTATCCCACTCACCATTATCGACAGTGTTTCCCATGAAAGTGGGATGTGTGAATTAGTCAGTTGCTGCTTGAAATGCAAGGGACAAGAGCTGCTGATTGTTTTGATCTATCGCAGTTCAAGCTGTGAGGTAAATGAAGTCCTGACAAACAGTCTCAATACTTGGTCACAAAGTGGTCGATGTCTAATCCTAGGGGAATTTAGTGCACCTTTGGTAGACTTGGAAAATCTGCGAACTAGATCACCAGATAATTCCTTCGAGCAGAAACTAGTTGATGCGGTTATCACATGTGCGCTAGTGCAACATGTGAAAGAAGCGACTAGGTACGACCCGGATACTGTCTCATCCATACTACATCTTACATTGACTCACTATGAGGAGGACATTGCGAACCTCAATTACATGCCACCCCTAGGTAAAAGTGATAACGCAGTTTTAACATTCGAATCTCATATAACTGTCAATCACGAGCACGCGTTAACTCAATCCAGACCTAACGTCTGGAAAGAAAACATACCAGATGTCACGCACTCAGCATAGTTAGTAGATTGGACAATAGACCCAGAGTCCTCAGTTGAAACGGCCTGGGACGCATTTCGAAATTCATACTTAAAAGTTATCATACCCCACATCCCTTGGACTATACCAAGGGGGCAGAAAAACTCCCCACCATGGTTCAGTAGGGAGACCCGCATCCTTCTCCGTAAGAGAAGAAAAATGTGGGATATATTTAGGTTACTGGGGACCGATGAGACAAAATCTCAGTATCGAAAAGCTCGGAATACCTGTGCCTCGACCACCCGTAAGTCTAGAAAATTGTACGAAGGAAAACTTGTTAAGTAATCCACAGAATGTCTTAAACGCTTGTATTCCTACATAAACCAAAGGACAGAGAGAAGAGGAAGTATTCCTGCTCAATGGTGACACAGTACTGCTTCATCATTAGTGGAGGACGACTTTGGGAAGGCTCAAGCGTTCTCAAACTACTTTAGCAATGTATATACCACAGAAGCACCCTTCCCGTCAGCGCATACAGATCCTCCCACACATACACTGGGTAGCGTGACCATTAAAGAACTCGATATCTTTGGTCTGCTAAATAAGCTTGACACAGGTACGTCCTAAACTTGAGTACTGCGTACAAGCTGTAGGGAGCAATTTCCTACAGGTTTAATTCTGAGCAATTCTCTAGACCGTCGAATACAGAGTCTTGGTTTGGCCCAAGTCAGAACAAGCAAGCTATTTGGCTAGATAAACTTTATCTGTTTCTAAAACATAAATTAACATCGGTAGTGTACAAACAAACTGTACGGTCTATTATTACAAGAAAAAAACAGACAAATAACATACCGAACAGTAGCCAGAGAATAGGAGAAATGAGTCGACAAGCAAATATTGTTTTACAATGAACATCCGACTGTGATTGGTTAATAAAAGGATATAATAGTGCAAGGTCAAAGAGAGTTAATGTGGTAGTGGGCGTTTCCCTTTATTATTGGTGAGTTCGTCTATCGATCACACTTTACACAAGGGGCTAGCCCCTGTTTAAAAAAAGACAGTGAGCTTCTGGAAAAGGTTCAGAGAACGGCAACTAAGCCGATTTCCGGAATAGCGAAGCTTCCGTATGAACCTCGACTGGCCAAGCTTAATCTTTTCCCGTTGTCATATAGTAGGACTAGAGGTGACTTGATTACAGTTTTCAAGTTGCTTAATGCCGAATTCGCACCTGATATGCCCTCATTTTCCTTGTCTTCCAAAACAGAATTTACGAGGACACTCCAAATAAAGTTCACAAGCCCAGAACAAATTACTCGTCAGCTGACTATAGACTTTCCCATCGAATCATCAACGAGTCGACTTCATTACCTCAGTACGTGATTGAGGCTCAATCCCTCGACTCTTTCAAAAGAAAGTTGGATCAACTGAGAGACCATCATTGCCGGGACTAACACAGGCCATC